TATGAGGACAACAGTCCGAACAATGTAAATAATGTAAAAAATCTGCTTTGTTTACTTTCGGATACGAAACTGAGGCGATATTAAAAGTTTCTATGATGAAAGAATTTTCGCTTAAAGTCGCCATTTCGGCCTTATCTGATCGGCTAAGTTATTTGTAGTGCAATTGGTCAGAGCCTGTCGGATTTAGCGGTAGCTTCCTCTGCCCAGTGGTTCCTAGGTTCGAAGGAGGGCCAAAGAACAGTGATCCGAATCTGCAGAGAACATGTCACCGTATCGTTGATAACTCGCTAGTTCGTCACTACCATCTCCCCAGCTTGATGAATCTTCACGGCAGTGGCGGACGTTGACGTGCGTTCTGCTCCTTCTTCGTGAGACACGCTTGTCCGACCACTTTTAAGCTTCTTGGTCCAATCATACACACTTGTACGCTGCAGTGCACTGTCGCAGTATTGTTAAAAGCCACCGATGAATTCCAGCACTTGACACACATTCCAACCAGAGAAATCGGATCACTGTCTTTTTTCTTCCTTGATGCACTTTATACTCTAAACCTCAGCAAAGAAACTAGCGTGATCAAGCTCAAATTTCGATCACGTGACTGCTATATAATTGTCATGGGTCCTTACCTATAACTACGTGAAAACTGGTGCGGACAAGCTCAAACTTCGATCACGTGACCGCAATCGTGCCAACTCTAAGCACGCATGAGCAGAAGGCACACTGACAAAGCTAAAGATTTGTTATGGCGAAAGTACGGGTAATTTTTGTCTTACGCTCGTATTTCCAATGGTCTATCTGTGCCATCAAAGATGGCGGTAATTGTTAGAATGTTTTGATAGTGAGATGTAATGAAACAAAATTCTTGAAACATTGTATTGAGATTCAATAAAACGAAGATAAGTAATTCAAAACTAAAACAGAGGCCAAAGAAGCGTTTAACTAATCCATTCAATTTATATTTTTATATTACATAATAATTTTCATGGGTCCTTACCTATAATTACAGAATGAACTCTTCCTAACATTATATATACTACACCTCTCAAGAGAGATGGTCGAATCAAGCCGAGCTTCTTGGCTTGACGGTCGATCTCTCTGCCTCTGAGCAGAGAGGAACCCGGACGAGGCTCCGCCGAAGGTCAGTGTTTCGTTCGGGGAGGTTGACCAACCCGATCCCGTTTGTACGGGTTCTACGGGCATTTTTTAGCCGAGCCTATGGGCTCGGGAAACCCACGTTAAACTCGGCCTTGTGACACATGCAACCCTCGTGCGGAGTGGCTAGATACCGAATCGAGCCGAGCTTCTCGGCTTGATTTGTCGAACTCTCTGCCTCTGAGCAGAGAGGAACCTGGACGAGGCTCCGCCGAAGGTCAGTGTTTCGTTCGGGGAGGTTGACCAACTCGATCCCATTTATACTGGTTCTACGGGCATTTTTTGGCCAAGCCTACTGGCTAGGGAAACCCACGTTAAACTCGGCCTTGTGCCACATGCAACCCTCGCGGGGGGTGGCTAGATACCGAATCGAGTCGAACCGATAGTAGTTCACTCCAAACCAGACTGACAGTCATACTAAAACCGTCCACATATTGTATTATCATTTCGTGTAATATACCTTCGTTATTTCTACTTTTGTGTTAGTGTTGTTCTTCCTTGGTCCTAACATGGACCCCAAGACTAACCCTAAGCCCGCATGCCGAAAATGCAGAGTGACAATGCTAAAGATATGCTATGGTGAAAGAGCGGATAGTTTTTAACTTGCCATCGTAGGAATGCATGAAAATATTCCTCATCTCTTACAGGGAAAATCGACATATATATATATATATATAGAGAGAGAGAGAGACATGTACACGTTTTAAGCGACAGTCAAATGGCATAAGCCGTACAATCGACCATTGCTAGTTGCTGTTTCTCCCTTTATAGAGATTTTAATAATGTCTAATTTCAATTCCCTGACGATGGCTTTCCTTTTCTTCGAAACACCTCCATCACTACGTTTGGGATCCATAATAAGGGCAATAATTTTGCACAAACACAACACAAAAGAAAAAGAGCGAAACACAACGATCCAACATGACGAACAAACAGGAACTGACCGACCGCGTCTTAAACCCTTGTGCAAATTAATTGCAAACCGGATTAGTTTCCTTTACGGTCAGAGTGACAGGATGTAATTGATTTCTATTTTTTCCTCAGATTTGCAGTGGTTGCATTAATATGAATCTATTTTCGAGTGTATGATGAAATTTGTTTGGCCCAGAAACTATTGCGTCATCCGTGATTGCAGCAGGTTTGTTTCACACACAGACACTATTGTCTCGGATGTTGATTAGTTGTCTTACAGTCATTGTCTGCGATGGACGTTACTTCAAAAAAGCGTATGGAAATTGTAATTCTGCACGAATACACCGGCAAGCTCTACCAGTTAGCAAATCAAAGTAATATAGACTAACCAGGAAACTCCTGATTTAAATCCATCCGAAAATCTGTGACCAATCTGCAAGGAAAACTTTGTGGAATGGAAATACGAAGTACTAACTTGTGCACTGGGTCATATTTCATTGGAAAAATACGAAAATAGTAAATAATAACAGAATTATTCGCTTTGCTTCAATTAATTTGCACAAGGGTGTATGTCAGGGATTGATTCCCTCTCTCTTTTCTTCAATCAGTCCTGTGAGTATTTCTCTAAACTTCGTTGTTGCTCACATATTCTGCCTAGGGTATCCCCAGCACGCTTCTGTTCTATTTCTGTTGCTTCGACTCTGATAATTTATTAGAAGACATTTATTTTGTAAGACATTTCCAGATTGGAATTTCAGACTATTTCTCTTCAGAAGTATGATGCTCTTTGACTCTCGTGTCATCAGCTCTGCTATGGTATCTTAGTCACATTCGGACATTCATTCGCTGCAGTACCAAATATCCAATGGAAGGCCTATCAAATTTATTTATAGAAGGTTTGCCACATTTTATATTCACACACACACACACACACACACACACACACACACACACACACACACACATATATATATATATATATATATATATATATATATATCCAAGTATATGATTGGTGTATACGGAATGAATTCCAATAACCAACAATTACTATTCTTAAAAGAGTGCTCAATACAAAGTAGAGCAGATATAATTATTATTTATAAAAAAAATATAACATAAGTATGCTATAAAATCACTACAAAAATAGCCATTTTGTTTCAACACCCTCGGTGTCTTATGTTGAAGTCTTCAACATCATCACTTGATAAGACACCGAGGGTGTTGAAACAAAATGGCTATTTTTGTAGTGATTTTATAGCATACTTATGTTATAATTTTTTTATAAATAATAATTTTATATATATATATATATATATATATATATATATATATATATATATATATATATGTTTCATTAAAAAAACGACAGACAAGGTACTATTTTTAAGCTTTTTATTTAATTTTTCTTGTGTTCGAACAAGAGCTTTCTTTTCTGGACAAAGGGTGTGTAAGAACTGTCCAAATGTTTTATATTTCGAGCGCTTTCGGCTACACCTTTAGCCATTATCAAGGATGATTCGATTTTTCAGTGTGTGCATTATTTGTATGTCTTAGTGTGTGGTAGGGATGTTTTTAATTTCCGAATACGGTTAGTACATTGTGGCTTTGTTAGGAGTTGATATTGTTAAGAATTGTTTTTTTTTTTTTTATTATTAAAGCTTCCATTATTTTTAGTCTTTTTTCCAGGTGGATGCAGTTAATGTATTTGTTTTCTACTAGTATGTTCCTAGTGGAGTCTGTTAAATTTGTGTGTATGTTTAAATGGGTTCTAATGGAGCTGTGATCAGATAAGTGTAACGTTGTCCAGAAAAGAAAGCTCTTATTCGAACACAAGAAAAATTAAATAAAAAGCATAACCGTAGTACCTTGTCTGTCGTTTTTAATGAAACATGCATAAAGGAAGGATTTCTGCCTAAATATACAACTATATATATATATACACACACACACACGCTGTATCCCATGCATTGAGCATTTTAACCCATAAATATGGCATATCTTAAAGCTATATTTTATCATCCCTCGTTCGTGCGCATACGCCTACGTAGCAAATTTAGTGTGATGATGCCCTAAATGACGAAACGCGTCGCAAGAAAACTTTTCCCACTCTTCATACATTTTCCCCAATATATATATATATATATATATAGATATATACATGAATTTTATATAGTTTTATGTTCCGCTTAGGTGAAACCTAGCTAGGTTAGTCTGGCTCACTAGGTTTATCTAAGTCTGCTCTACGGTTGTATTGAGTTCTTTTGTTAGTTGTTTACTCGTATCGGGGTTTTTTCTTTGGGCTTCAAACCTGTATCTGTGCGATTTTTTTTTTCGACAGACTTTCATGTTTCCAACTCTTTCTTTTTTAAAAACCTTTTTTCCCTCGAGGTTGATTTGATTATTGGCAAATCAAAAATTCGAGGATTTTTCGAAACGAGTATAGTTATCTATATATATATATATATATATATACACACGAAATGGACAAAGTCCGACAATTATTTTAATATATTTTATTGTTATATGCTATTTGTATAGAGACACAAATATTAAATAAATGCTCTATTTATAATAAACAGTATTAACAACATTTACCGGTCTGAACGTCCGAGAAATTTTTATAAAAAATATGTGTCCTCCGACAGGAATCGAACCTGTATCCTACACGGAACCGTCACATAGCCTGACGTGCTATACCGTGTTACCTACGAAGGAGCGTATCAAGGTTGATTTTACCGTTTTTAAACTACAAATGATGATATCTGCTCGTAGCGTATCGAAACTGTGAAAAATTGGAATAACAGAGCTCTAAATTGAACATTAATGATAAATATATATTTTTACCATATCGGTAACACAATTTTGAGTTTCATGCACAACGCAATCTTCAGGTGCTGACTGAAAAACTCAGTTCCTGACCATTGCGTTGTGCATCATGTGCTACCAGTGAGAGAGAGAGAGAGAGAGAGAGAGAGAGAGAGAGAGAGAGAGAGAGAGAGCGTGTGTGTGTGAGAAAGACTGAGAGACAATGAGAGGAGAGTGCGTGAGAGAGAGAGAGAGTTTGAGAGTGAGTGAGAATGAGAGAGAGAAAGGAAATGTGAGATAAAAGCGAGAATAGTTATAAAAGTAAGTACAACACAGACAAATTCAAGAACATGTTATCTGCAAAATTAGTCTACTTTATATTATATATATATATATATATATATATATATATATATATATATATATATACTAAGAAGAATACTAAATATAAATCAATGGAAAATACTAAAACAGCAATCAACTGCTTCAATAACATTAGTAAAAAAAGAAAATTGCTCCTTCACACAATTAAGCATAAAACGATTTCTACATATCTATTAATGAACACACACTAAACAACGCATTAAACTTAGCAAAACAATACCTCAATATCCCCAATGGGGACATAAATATAATTACACAATTCTGAAAATCTATATAATACCAAAAATGAAAATATGGACAACATAGCCAAAATAATAATAATGATGAAAATAATAATAATAATATTAATAATAATAATAACACTGGAAAATCTGCAACTTGTACGGGAAGAAAACTGAAAGAAACTGGTATGAACACCACCCAGACCCGGTTACGGAGATAGGACCTGTTACAATTCTATGGGATTACACAATACACACTGACAGAACAATCAAGGCCAACCGGCTAGATATTGTTATTAAAGACCACAAACAAAAACGGTGCCTCCTTATTGATATGGCAGTCCCTGCTGACTGCAATGTATCTTTGAAGATATTCAAAAAGTTGTCAAAGTACAAGGACCTTGAAATAGAAATCTCGAAAATGTGGCATATGGGAACATCAACGATCCCTGTTGTAGTTAGAGCCCTAGGACTGGTTGGAAAAGATTCCAGTAGACTAATTGAAGGGATTCCTGGAAGTCCATGCCTCAATGAGATACAAAAAATTGTTCTGACAAGTACAGCCCACAACTTACGAAGGGCTTTATCTATGTATTTTTTTTTTTTTTTGTCAGTGGAAAGTATCATGACGCCATTTCTAACCTTAGGTCCCTGGGCGGGACCAGGAAAGAAATGTGTAAACGCCAGAAATCAAAGAAAATAAAAATAACAATAATAATAATAATAACTTATTAACGCAACAATGTGTAGCTATGATGGCGCAGGTATAGGAACTCATCGTAAACAATAAATTAACAGAAAAGATATATGCTAATACAGGAACGTCATACGAAACTGCAACGGTAAAACTACAGAACAAATGAAACAAGAAATAATAAAAACCTTCAAATGCCTATTATATGCAATCGGTATAAAATCAAATAAAGTAGTGAATTTCTTAGATATAACATTCAAACTAAACATCGGGTTCTGCAAAGTATATAAAAAACTAAACAGCTACATAATATACATTTAAAAAAAAACCTACACCCCCAACTGTTAAATAATAGTTTAGCACACTGTTAAGTGTATGTCAGGCCCTACTTCCGGAGGCTGATATACGAGGTCAGATGTGAGCAATAATAATGAAGTCAATTTTGACTGGCTGAGTTAGCGTGAGACAGGAGAAAGGTTTCTGCGAGTTGCTTCCTTCCCATCAATTGAAACAGTCGTGTTCACTTTAGAGTCTGAAACGGCTCCCTCACTGGATAGCTAGGTAATGTGCATATCGACATATACATTACCTAAAACTAAAACTAAAAACACTTAACATTATTTGTGTTTTGAATTGGTGCCGTGACCAGGATCCACCAGAATGGGAGTGACAGAATGAGGGTTACAACACAACGTGGAAAAGTTCGGAGAAAATGTTCGGACAGAAGACTCAACAAATAGAATGCAAAATAAAAGAAAAACTTAATCAAGATATGAGAACAGAGAAAAAATCTGTAAGTACGATGACATTACTATGCTTTACAGCTCACACACATCGAAACCACAAACCAAAATATGAAGTAATGATGAAAATGAATATAGGAGGAAAAAAGTAAAAAAAAAAGTGTAAGCTGACTGGTTTTGTCGCGTGTGCGAAGGAAAAAGTTTTGATGCACAGAGAAGAAAAAAAATTGAAAAAGGACGATTTGGAAAAAAAGAAAGTACACAGTATAACAGTGGACACTAACACTCACGCATACACATTAATACGACAATGTCAATTTTGTGAAATATTTGAGAGAGAGACTGAGTTTTTTGTCTTTTTACAGTACTTTAGAATTATTTTGTTAATCATAATTAACTGACAAATGATAGTTTTGTTATTTGTTGTAACAGTGCGTGGAATTCTTCTTTTAATTTGACAGCCGATTGTGTTTTTCGCCTTCATTGGTTGAAGAATTAAGTTGTTAATTGGAGAATTTTGAGAGTTACTTTTTATGGAAAAATTAAGTTAATTAATTGTTCTCAATCATGCGGGGGATTGTCACGCCTGACTATGTAGATAGGGAAAACGGACAATGTTGTGAGTAAATGGGAGCAGTCAATTGTGAAGTATTCATAGAGGATGAATATACCTTAGGATACTCTCCGGACCGAGGAACGGTTCTAGCGCCCCAAAGGAATTGGTCACATTGATTGTGGGACGCCAAGTCGCGATAGAGACTAAGATAAGAAACATCTTGTAACCACAGTAAAGCCAGTAATGGATAAGTTAGGAGGTGCTGACCAGTTGGCTTTTAACACACAGAGCCAGATTGTTAATAATGGTAATTACATAAAATTAATTGCGGTAAATTTGTGAAGATTTGTTCAAGTAAATCTGGTAATACGCAAATAATAAAGTAATTGGTAGTGGTTGAATAAATAGGGTGATAATGGACGGATGTACTGCGTAACTGTGAGTAGGAAATAAGCGTAGTTCATAACAATGTGTAAAATTTACGTGGCAAAGACGTGGCTCATTTATGGAATTGTTTGACGTGATAATTTGGGGCTTTCGGCATGTATTGTTTGAAGAATCAACGAATTTTGTTCTCACCAGCAATATTGTATTGCAGAGGTAGTATCTGTTGACTTGGGTGGAGGTGACATTGGATAGGTTAAAGTTCACAGTTGGTGGGATTTGTATCCAGATTATCGTATTAGGCCTTGATTATTGGATCACTGAAGGTAGTGACCGAAAATGGACAAAGGATTATCTGGTATTCTTTTTTCCTTTTTTTTTTTTTTTTTTTTGGACAAAGGATTTGTGAAGTATGAAAAATAGTCAGTGTCTTGTTGCTCATTTTTTTCAGCAATGGCATATGAGCATGCCTTTTGGGGAATGTGGCCGAGGCCCAACCGAAGAAAAATAATGTAAGGAGCACGTTTTGCGGACACAAAAGAGTAGAGGGTATTTTAGAATAATACAGTTGAAATAAAATTCATAAATTAATCATTTTAATGATTAGGTAAGTTGTGTTAAATAATAGTTTAGCAGACTATTATTTTTAGAGGAAGTATATTTCGGCTCCGATTTCCGGAGGTTAACATTCGGGGTCAGATGTGAGCTATAATAAGAAAGTCGAATTTGATTGGTGAACTAGCGTGGGGAAGCGATAGGAGAATGCTTTCGGTGAGTTGTTTCTTGCCCGTCAAGAAATGTAGACGTGTTCTCTTTCGTGTCCGAAACGGCACCCTAATGACTCCATCTAGATGGTTAGATAATATACATGTCGACATAGTTAAGCTAACATTCTCTGTGTTTGGAAACTTTCATTGGTGAAACAATACGATAACAAGAGGAAAAGCCGAGCTGAGATCATTAATTGCTGTCAAAATGCACATACCGTATTTAAACAAATACTCCTATCTCTAAATAAAATAATTTTAACAAATTCTAGTAGCCAAAAAATAATCAATGAAAATAAAATAAACATATGAATCAACACTCAGAAATAGCGGATATTCAAACACTCTAAAATGCAAAAACGAAAATAATTCAAACAAAAACAGCAGAAAAAGTAATATAATTTGGTTACCCCACCACAACAACGCAATAAAAACAAAAGTAAGGAAAATACTCTTTAAATTAATTAAGAAACACTTTCCTAAAAACAACAAATCAAAATTAGTTACTGTCGCATAGATAACATGGAGAAAATAATAACTATGCACAATGAAAAATACTCAACAAAGCCAATAGCAATTACAACATTAAAAATAAAATACAGCAAATTAACACCATAAAATGCAACTGCAGAAAGAAAGAAAATTGCCCACTCAACAATAAAAACGAATATTAACCTTATGACAACAATTTGGGGTTATATGAAAAAAATGAATTTTTAATCTAGAATTACAAGAAAAAGAAAAAATAAACTCCAAAATAAATCTCAAATATATAGATAAAAGGAAGTATGGGATTAAAGGAAAGGGAGTTAGAGAGACTTTCCAGTAGATTAAATATTATAAATTATAAGTAATATAGCATAAAAAGGTTTTAGAGAGTGGGGAATAAAATATGCAAATTAGAATTAGCTTTCTTTTTTTTCTGTCAACATTTGAAAAGTTAGAAGAGAGTGATTTTGGGTAGCTAATTAAAGTAAACTATATTATGGAAAAATGGTAGCTAATAAAGATAAAAATGTATTATGGAAATTTGAATTTGTTTTTATATCGACATTTTAACATCAATTCATTCCTTTTATTCAATTGTTGTCTTTGATTATTGCATGTTATTTTAATTTTTCTTCTAAACATAAAACACACCTATATCTAAGACTATTAGAGGTTCGTGTAGAATTCATAATTTTCAAAACTTTTATATATATATATATATATATATATATATATATGAAAAGTCTACCTACCATGATATGACTTGAGAAAATCAAATGCTTGTGCCATATTTACAATCCTTGTCTGAAAAGAATTATGAGTGTCAGAAAAAGCCACCATTAAAATTAATGAATGCAAAAAATGTGTCGTTTTTAATAAATGGAAAACTATGACAGAACTTCTATTATCACGGTGATGGAAAGAAAAAGAAAAGAATCTGAATGAAGTCGGCTAGATTAAAAGAAAACAATAAAT